CATTCACTTCCTAAATTTTCATATATGCTGCCATCGTATTTAGTCCGTGGTTTTTGTTTGTGTTTGATTTCCCCTTGTGTTGTTCTGCACTATGAGGATAAATGGCAACAAAATGAAGTAAAATAAGATAAGTTGAGAAAAGCCTATGAACTTCTTGAAAACTGAAGCGCATGTAGGCACATTAATTTGTGTACAAAATCTTGGCCTGAGTAATCTCTCTTGAAGGTGACGCACGAAGTTGCAATTTGAACTCACGCTCAGCTCCATATCGCAAGTTATTGATCGGTTGGCGGCTATCTGCAACATATGTATCCGTCGATTGCGTCGAACACAGACTAAGCTTGAGGTAGACTCGTAATCTCAGGCCGATATCACGGACCGATACGTCACATTTACTTCTATTGAAAGATAGGGCGCAACCCTGAGAGGCGCAGAGAAATAGCGCGAGAATAAAGGTTGTAGGCCGAAAGGGGACAGAAAGCAATTGAAACGAGCATAGGAGGCCACTCTCGCCTTGCCTACTTTTTAAAGTTGAGCTCGGATTAGTTAATGCAGGTTAACGCACTCGGCGTAAAGATTGGCCCTCACCTGTGCGATTGCGTTCTCGTTGATTCAAAGATCGTTGTGTCACCTTTTGGTCAGTGCTACTCTTTTAAGGCCGCATGCACTAACCTCCTCGCTGGGGAGGGGATCGCAGTTCAGAAGAAAGCTTCATATTCTGAAGCTCCAGATATCTGGATTTTACGCTGTCTACCTCTCCGTAAGTATTCCTACTATCCTTCATCATGAACATGCTGAACAGGAGCGAGAAGCTGTACGAACCGCATTTTCCAGCTTTTGTATGATCCCTGATGATCCCCGGCGCTTTTCTTTGAGTTCATTTTTCTTTCTCCAAATTCAACGAAAACCTTCCAAAGTTGTACTGAACATTTAACAGAACAGTGCTAAGCATGCTGCTGATAAGAACAAATGAGTTTTTGAAAAGTCGAGTTTTTCGCCAAACCTCAAATTTCGACCTGTGGATCATCGAAAATTTCATGACTTCAAAACATCATTTGTTCTTATCAGCAACATGCTTAGCACTGTCGGGTTAGATAATCTGCACAACTTTGGAGTTAACTTCGGAGAAAGAAAAATGACAAAGCGCCGGGGATCATCAAGGATCATACAAAAGCTAGAAAATGCGGTTCGTACAGCTTCTCGCTCCTCTTCAACATGTTCATAGTGAAGGGTAGTAGGAATACTTACGGATAGGTACACAACGTGAAATCCAGGTATCTGGAGTTTCGAAATATAAAGCTTTCTTTTAAGCTGCGATCCCCTCCCCGCGAGGATGTTAGTGCATGCGGCCCTTAGTATGCAGAGGAAAAAGCTACATGACTAAAACTTGCGCAGGTAAGCTTGCTGATGGGTTGGCTACTTCTTATGCAAGAGGTTTTCGTGAAAATGATCTCAAGCTAATGGTCGTCAACTTATGAAGCCTTCACGTTGCACCAGAATGAGAGGGGGAGCTGAGCTTTTTTATATCATCATGCATTGCTATGAAGGACTTTGAAGTACGGCAGTCAAGACATGGAACAAAGATGAAAGTGTGATACTGAATAAGAGCAGTTTCGCGCTCGAGCTTATAAAAGTACGACATCTTTTTCTACAAAATTTATCTAGACTAGATCGACCCACTGCGCAAAATTTCACATTTTTGTGGATGTTTAATTGCCATCAGCTTTCCTCGTAGTTTTTCTGTAATGTTTTACAGTCCTAAGTGAACAAAACAGCTTCATTCTTAATAACAGTAACACTGCGCCGTTACCAATAGAGAAAATTAAATTTCTTCAACGCTATTATCTCAGTGTAGCACATTTTAGCATAACAAGCGACATCAACAAAGTGGAAGATTTGATTTGCGCATGACGAAGTCCTTGTTTTATGTCCGAAGGACATAAAACAAGGACTTCGTGTGCGTATGTCCAACCTGAAAAAAGTTGGATCATATGGAATTCAAAAATTGAGAATTAGTTCGGTTTACATGATAGTAGAAGAAACTTCCATTACGGAAATGAGAGTCTCCCTTTTTTATTCCATGTCGTCAACTTTATGGAGGTCAATACAAGGTAAAATTATGACATATTAGAAAGCATGATAGTATGGTTGTCTAAATACTGACTATTACACGACACAAATATGTTGAATAGATGTAGTCACGGAATGCCTGAGTGACTCCCGAAACAGGACACCTCATTTTGTATCGAGTCAAAGGTACGTGACAAAATCAGCTGTCCCGACCGACACATTCCGAACAAAATCGGAACACCTGTGGGAGACATCATAATCTCCCAATGTTCAGAGCTTGCGACCCACGCTTTTATAAACGAATTTTTCCGTTCTCTACGTCTTCCCTCACGCCTCCCTCTTCACTTATGTTGTGTCCTTGGTGTCGTTGGGTCTCATTTCTCACGCCTGTTATTTTTCTGCTTGTAAAACCCAGTTACATGTCATAAAATTTACTAACACATACCACAATAACAGGAACAGGTTTTACAATAAAATCGAAATGAGATGCACAGAAAGCAGAGATAAGATTCAGGAGCTCTACGACTACGACACAAGGTTACGAGAAAAATACAGCAAAAACTAAAATATAGACAAAAACACCAAGCTTCCTCAATCCTTTTAACTTTATCTCCAATGCATTCAGGTCTTCTCATCACTAGTTCTTAGTAATACTTTTGCCCTCGATGCCTTCGATGACTACAGGCCTTTTCTGAAAATCAAGAATTATTAATACCAATGATCAAATAAAACAATTAATCACCTTTGACGGGGAGCTCTTTCAGGGTCAAAATGGTAAGTGCGGACGTCTGCGCTGTAAAGGTACTTTATTATAGTATCGCTTTTTTTGAAAATGTGAGAAAACTCACACTGCTCTCCCTTTGCTATTTTTGCACAACAGCTCCAAACCACTATTGCCTCCAAGAGTTCGTTAAAAAATTTCTCGCGAGCGTCGTCCTCTTCTCTTAAGGACATCCACCACCTAAACTCTAGTGCACATGAAGGTCTTCCGAAAACATGCATACCTGTTTGGATTTCGCTTTTGTTCATTTGGGGTCCCAGAAGTTCTTCGCGGTATAGGCCTAGAGGGTTAATATGAACCCAACACTGTCGGCGATTTGCAACATCGCACACTTCGCTTGCAAAAAATCTGCACTTACCTAGGTTGCAGCAATAATGATAATCCTGGCTTAGATGTGACAGAGGAAATGAGAGCGGAGCTCTTTGAAAGTTGAATTAAAAAATGGAACTAACGTGGAAGATACTGTTGTAATAAAGCTCAGGATTACGGCAGCAGTACAGAGTGAAGTCAGTAATTTGGAGATGTACTCATTTAAACATTCCCGCACTTCGGGACAAAATCGCACGAAAATCGGGACAAAGCTAAAATGATGACTCCCGCCAATACACCGGATTTTGGTGCGACTAGCGGATCTCCTGCGGGACTCAATGACGAATGTCTGAGTACTTATTGGCAAAAATCTTCTCAGTTTCATCGCTAAACCATCAAATAATGACGCTATGCTTGAAAAACTCTCTCGTTGATGCGTGTTCATCAAATTTTTAACCTTTGCGTTGTTGCTCATTGTATGCATATTGCATATGGCTGCAACAACATCCTTCGCTTTTGAATACTTTGATCACGGCGGACCATGTGCAAATCAAAAGCAAATTACATAGATTCGCGCATTTGCTCCGTTTTTCTTTCTTTCTAGAGGTGCTAACTGGATGGATAAGAAAGTTTGTATTTGGTTGTCCCGAAATTTCTGTCGGCTTATTCAAACAGCTATAAAACCACGCGCAATAAAGACCTGAATGAGCTTCAACATGTATTCGATGCAGCTTTTCCTTCCACCGTCCGGCACGAGACGGTTTCTAGGGTTTCTGAAAACGAAATCTCGCTTGACTTTCGGAAGTTATACGAAGTCCCCTTTGACCCACCTACTTAGAAATAGATGAAAACAAGAAAGATTCACTGGTCTGAAGGAAAAAACGTGAGATAAGAGTGGAAAATCAGGCTGGAGCTGAACACTACGCATGCACAAGAGTTTGGCATTGTAGCGCGATATTCAACAAAGCCATTTATGAAAAAAAATTAAGGCAAAAAATAAAGCAAAGGCAATGATATGAAAATGCTTTTTTTTCAAATTTTTACGCATAACTCTTTTGCAAATAAGTTTCTATGTATACAGTTCAATTTTGGTGTCATACGATTTATGCGTTGTAAACAAGATTTTGTTTATTTTAGCTTGCTTTCAAATCGCGCGCACTTTCGCCATACCGGTGGAGCATGTCAATCGTGTGATAACCTGTCCGGAAAACTTGTGTTCGACTAAATGGTGCTTATCCTTGGTGCTCGGCCCCGACTCGTCAAAAACGACATCTCCGTTGCTTTTTGCTCCAAAAACGAAGTCTAGTCTGCTTCCAGACGACCTGTGCCGGGCCCTGATGTTGAAGGTTCGCTCTTACCTCATGCAATATTGGTCGGCGTGCGACTGACATTGATTCCTTCGTAAGTGCGCTTACTTGAGCAGACAGACTTGACACACTCCATCAACTTATAAGAGTTATACACCGAGGGAATCGACATCTACATGGGTGGATCAGTAACATTGGGCGAGTCAGCAAATGTAACGATAGCGATGGGGGAATCGCAAGAGGTATGACCTGCAGCTAAAGCAAGCAGCAACCTTATTAAAATTATAAAACCACCATGAGTTAAAGTACCAGCAGCAATTCCAAGTTCATCGCATCCAGTGCAGAAATGTAGAAAATATTTTGGGAGTTAGCTAGGAACTGTCAACGGTAGTCAACCCAATATTCGTGTTGTCTGAGCAACATCGTGTGCTGGATGAGTCCTCGTGCGCTAATGAGCAACTTTATAACTTTGAAATCTTATTCTCGAGGGGACAAATATTGATCAAATAGCTGAGAAATAATTTATTGTAAGGTCTCTGTTTATCATCTGCATATATTAAACACACCACTTTCACGAGTGGATTGCGTTGTCGATTGAGTTGTGCAGACTCACTACTTCATTAGTCAAGTTTGCCAATCATGATTTGCAGAACGTGGTCCATCTAGAAAAAAAGAGTTACCCAAATTTCACTCGTACAAGGCGCGAGGGATTTTTTCCACAATCGACCATCCCAAACATGCCAAAATACAGGGTGTCCGTAAAGTATGTATACATTGTTTGATCGTTAATATCTTTCTTCTCAACAAGACTTTTGCCTTGCTTCAGAAACCTTTTGTAGAGCTGGCCTCAACTTAGATTTAGAGTATGGAGCGAATCACAAATCGCTCTTCATTACTGTGGAATTACGATAGAACTTGAAACATATGGTGTCAATGTGGAAACAGCTACCGTCTCAAAATTTTTCAAAAAAATGTGAAAACTTGTGTAATAGGGTTTTTATGGACGCTGAGTTCTATACTCAATTATTCACAAGATTGCGAAGCTTTCTAAACGGTGTAACCGCACTTTTCAGGAACACTGAAAAAATGGCCGCTACCTCTTACCTGGCATAACTCTTCAATGAAGCATCATAATAAGTTGGGGACATTACTGTTAGAATCAACAACTCTAGCTAGCCTAGAGTAGAATGTAACCGCACTTTTCAGGAACACTGAAAAAATGGCCGCTACCTCTTACCTGGCATAACTCTTCAATGAAGCATCATAATAAGTTGGGGACATTACTGTTAGAATCAACAACTCTAGCTAGCCTAGAGTAGAATGTAACCGCACTTTTCGGGAACACTGAAAAAATGGCCGCTACCTCTTACCTGGCATAACTCTTCAATGAAGCATCATAATAAGTTGGGGACATTACTGTTAGAATCAACAACTCTAGCTAGCCTAGAGTAGAATCTTTCAGGCTGTTTTGTTTCCTTTGTGAGACAAAATATGGCCCTTCATGGCTCAAAGCCTTCTTCTTCGAAGTTTCTACCGTAATTTTACAGTAAATTGTACAGTAATGAAGAGAGAAGGGTGATTCGTTCTATACTGCAAATCTAAGTTGAAGCCAATTCTACAAAACGGTATCTAAAGCAGGGCAAAAGACTTGTTGGGAAGAAAGATATTAACGATCAAACAGTGTATACATACTTTACGGTCACCCTGTACTATGGAATTAGGGGCCCTATAACGTGCTGCGTATTGCTTAAGGGAATCGTGCAGTAAGAAACAAACTTTTTCAAACACGATGAACCGGCTGAGCGGAGAAATCGAAAAAGTTGCGCCTTATACGCGCATGAAATTAGTTGTATCTATTGAACCAACCAACCACCCTTTTCCTGACCTTCGGACTCTCCTGTGTTAGCTTCGCAAGGGACTTGAGTTTTTCCACGGAATTCTTTGATTTGTCGTCGAGTATGTCAATCTTTTTCTCTAACGCTGCGTTTAGTCCAGTTAAGAGCTTAGCGACATCAGCCCGAACTTTCGCCCGAATTTTCTTCATCGTTTCCTTATCAGCTACAGCCTAAAAATGTCGTAACTCACTGTCAATGAAATTATTCTGATATTTGGGTATTGCGTGTATACCAGCCTACTATCCGTGGTTAGGATATACCTAGTTTCGTTTAGTTATCCAAAAAAATTCAAAAAGTTTTCAAAAACAGGCTCAAAAACTGGCTTAGACTGCAGCCATATTTTAACCCAACAAAGTAATCCCTGACTAAAATCTGCTATGAAATGTGTACTCTAATTAGCCAAACAGGTGCTTCGATTAAGCTGTGCCATACCTTCGAAGGGAACGCCTAACTAAGTTTTTTTACTTGAAGATACTTTTGGCACTCTGCTTTCAAAATTTGCGTTTGAATAGGGAGGTAACGACAGGTCTTCGTCTAACGATAGGGCCCGTATGCACGTACATCCCCGCTGGGGAGGGGAGGGATCTGAGAGGAGATGCGTCATATCTCGGTACTCTACGTATCTTTCTTCTTTTTTCTCTATCTTGCTTATGAAGGTTCTCAAACCCTAATACCTGCGCATAATCGATGCCAGGTTACTTCCATACGAGATTGGTTTTTTGCCATTCTGTGTGATCCCCAGGGGATCCCGGAGGATCCCCAGGGAATCAACTCTCATTTTCAAAGTGTCTTGAAGTCAATGGAAACGCTGCAAAATTGTACTGAGGATATACTACGGAACTGCTAAGCACGGTTACGACGGAAAAATGGAATCTGAAGATTGTGATTTTTTCGATGATCCCTAGCTCGCGATCTAGGGATTACCGAAGATTTTGATTTCCTGAGATTTCACTTTTTTCCACTATTAACATCTTTAGCAGGGGATCCCCTGGGGATTACACAAAATAGTGAAATTCTAATCAATTGTGCCAGTAACCTGGCGTCAATTACACGCGTACTAGGGTATGAGGACCTTCATAAGCAGAATAGAAAAGGAAAAAGAAAGATACCTGAGTGCTGAGATATGACGCATGCCCTCTCAGATCCCCTCCACTCCCCATCGGGGATTTACATGCATACAGGCCTAAGTAAAAGAACAATGTGTTTGTTCTCTAAAGAGCACGACTGATATCAACCTAAAAAAGCCTAAGTTTGATATGCTTCTTCAAACACTATTAGCAGTATTCTTCTGGGGTTATTTGTATAAATGAAGACCATAGTTACAGAATTTTACAGGACCCAGCATGTAGACATTGTGAAAATCAACTTCACGGCAGCCGGTACTCCCCCTACCTTCACTTTTGAGCTAGTAAAGGGTGACCACTTTCACTTTTGGAATAAAAAACTTTTTTGCTGGACTATAAAGAAGGAAAATAAGTAAAACAAATACAAAAGGGATCATTGAAAGCATATCTTTATGTATACAGCGTCATAAATATCTAAAATAAACGTGCTTATCAAATAGTGTTTCTGGAAGTAAATCTCTGCGGAACAGTACGTATCTTATTAACTAAATGTTGTTATAATGTACAGCGAAGAAAGTAGATCGATCCAGGCAGTGACGGCCGAGAACCAGAATTTTGAATAATGAAATAGTGAAAAATCATGCAAAATTTTCACTGTTATAAATCTGTTGTTTGAAGATGTCAGCAGTTGCGACTTCATAGGTTTTGAAGAGTAAATGGTGCTCTATCAGATAGTAAAGTAATCTAGCCGATTTGAGAGATAGTCGTCGAAAACCAGAATTCTGAAAATTTACGCCATTTTTGCGTGTTTTTTGACAGCTGACAGTTAAAGTCATATAAATCCTGCATGTGAAGGTATATGATGTTGCGACTTCATAGGTTTTATAGAGTAAGGTTTGCGTTATCAGAATATATCTTACCCATACCAATACATTAAAACAGCGCCGAGATCCGTAGTCTTGAAGAAGCAGGTAAGAAAGCGCTTTTTGAATTTCAACAGCTCATAACTTCTTCAGAACTGCATGATTCATGTTGCGACTTTATAAGCTAGATTCTTCTCATCAAGATACAAACAGACATTCAGCTTTATATATAAGATAGGGACCTCTAAATAGGCCATTGCAACAAATCCCACTCAATTTGTCCCCTTCCCGCTGAGAAAAATTCGCTCAAAGTGGTACGCGGAGAGCGACTTGGTACGCGCGGACAACTCCTTCGGTCTCCCCGCTTACGCGTTTGAATATGTCCCTCCACTTGGCATCCACCTCCCCTCTGTTGCTGCCACTTGGCTGAGGCTGAAGATGGAAGGCACAACTCGTCCACGTTGTTTCCGCGGGGCCTCCAGAAAACGGGGTTTTTGGGAACTTCGTGCGATTTTAAGCCCATACATTGCTAGACAGGGTCCGACAGGCATGCATAAAGCAAAAATCTCGGCAACTGAATTTTGGTGAGACCTGTCTTCAATGTATTGGAGGGAGGCCGCCAGGGGAGACTTTGTGATGAAAAGTCTCCCCCAGGGCATAATTCGTAGAAGGCCCCAAACCCCCACACATCATACATCTTCTGAAAGCTCTTGATGAGAAGAATCTAGCCTATGAAGTCGCAACATTACACATTTTCGCATTCGAGATTTATATGAGTTTAACTGTCAGCTGTCAAAAAACACGCAAAAATGGCGTGAATTTTAGAATTCTGGTTTTCGACGACTATCTCTCAAATCGACTAGATTTCCTGAATATTTGATAGAGCACCATTTACTCTTCAAAACCCATTAAGTCTCAACTGCTGACATCTTCAAACAACAGATTTATAACAGTGGAAATTTTGCATGATTTTTCACTATTTCATTATTCAAAATTTTGGTTCTCGGCCGTTACTGCCTGGATCGATCTACTTTCTTCGCTGTACATTATAAGAACATTTAGTTAATAAGATACGTACTGTTCCGCAGAGATTTACTTCCAGAAACACTATTTGATAAGCACGTTTATTTTAGATATTTATGACGCTGTATACATAAAAATATGCTTTCAATGATCCCTTTTGCATTTGTTTTGCTCATTTTCCGCGCGCTGGCGGCAACGACCTAAAAGGACAGACGTTAATGCCCCCTTCCCCCCACCCGGTCGACGTTTTTGGGAGGTGAGCGTCCGGCACTACCTCCACTTTTGGCCCGCCAGTGGTAAGCTGGGACCACCTTCACTTTTGGTGGGCCCGGCTCCCCCCCCCCCATCGCACCTCTGGATGGTACCATAAACTAAGCTGTTTCCATTTTCTAGACTATTAATGCTGTCGGAAAATCAGGAATGTTGCACGTTTAACTACTAGTTGGCTACCCGGTCCAGCTCGGGTCACTGTTCACTGGAGGGATAAGTGCTGCAATAAACGCCAGCATATGTAGTTATTGCACGCGAGACCCTCCCCCCCCCACACCATTCCGTGTTGCGTTACTGCTATTGTCTACCTCGTGGGATATTCAATTCGATATACTACATTCCCGTGATCTTGAGTGCAAAGTGAGCTTCATCGCCTTCGTTTATATGATTATGGGAAATGGTTCAGTGGAACAGAGCTTTTTTTCCTCGCAGCACGTAAACAAATAATAAATCGATGGAAATACACAATGAAAACGAATTGAAAAGTAGCTTATTTTCTCCGCTGCGGTCGGAAACATGTGTGTGCGGAATTTGATGACTTGTATAGTAGGAAATATCAGACGAACATAGGAAGGCATATTCAAAAACTGTAAGCATAGAGACTATTAGCATTGGGCTGCAAAACTCATGTTTTGGGAGCGAAGCGAAGAGTGACTTTGTGAACTGCTTATAGTATCAGGTCCAGAGGTGCGATAGTGGGAGCCGATTCTTTCCCTACTTTCACCTTTGAGCTAGTACAGGGTGACCACCTTCACTTTTGAGTTTTGGAAAAATTTATGCTGAATGAAAAAGGGAAAATAAATAAAACAAATGCAAAAGAGATTATTGAAAACATAATTCTATCGATCTACTTTCTTCGCCGTACGTTATAACAAAATTTGCTCGAAAAAACCGTACAGTTCCGCTGAGTTTTACTTCCAAATACACCACTTGATAAGCACTTTTGCTTTAGATATTTATGCCGCTGTATACATAAAAATATGCCTTCAATGGTCTCTTTTCATTTGTTTTGCTTATTTTTCGCGCACTGCGGCAACGAATTGGAGGGATATGCCCAGCCGATGTTAACGCTTTCCCTTCCCTCTCCCTCCCCCCTCGACGATTTTGGGAGGTGAGTGACCGACACTACCACCCTCACCTTTGGCGTTCAGTGGTAGCTGGGACCACCTTCACATTTGGGGGTCCCGGCTCCCCCAATGCACCTCTGATCAGGTCTCTTCGTAAATGATGTTTTCGCTTCCTCTTAAGCTTGCAAAGATAGCGCAAAAAGCCAGGTGTACGGTTAAGTCGACGTCGGTGCTTCAGAGCAAACAAAATGAAGACTTTTCCTTTATGCACACTTCTCTATGCAATTAGGAGTTATAAAACCCGTTGATTTGAAACGAGTTGAGGGACTGCAGAGTTTCAAACAAACACACACATTTACGTTTGAAAACGTTTGCGGGTTAAAAGGAACAAATGATCTTTCTCTTGCATTTGTGAAACATTTGCGAAACTAATGAAACCGCTGACTTTTTTTTACGTAGTTACATAGAGTGCGGTTGATAATTATGCGAACACCCCCTTCGTTTGAGGGTTTTGGGACTTTTGAAAGAATCGCTATGTGAAAAAGCTATGTGAAAAAGCAAAGTCGAAAACGACAGCACAAGGACGAAAATCAGCGCCGATCTTTGAAATGCATTTTGCTCATACGAATACTGAGCGGTTCATAATTATAGCGTGCGGAAAAAGTACTGGCCCTCCAGCTTGGCCCCTGAAATACCTCAAACATAAAGCAAATCTGTAGTTTTTTGATTCCCATACGTAGGCGAGATCCTTGAGATTAGATGAAGATAAGCTTCATTTGAAACTGTTCCCTCCCGTCCGTTTGAACGAGTGATAACAGCGCACGAGAACATTAACGATGCGCCGATAGCATAGAAGCGCGATTTTGAACCGTGACTGTACCAC